AGGGGGTCCTGTCTCGAGCTCTGCACGGGCTTGTCCGTGCTGCTGCGCACTCCCCGTTAGCATTTGCTACCGGGAGCTCAAAACCTGCCCGGGGGAAGGTGCCCTTCTCCCCACCAAGCTGCACCACCGGGGCGGCGGGACGGGAGCGCGGCCAGGAGTGCGTGGTGCTCACCATGGCACTGCCTGGGAATGCTGGCACAAGGCAGAAAATCGACAAACCAGCATTAGCTGGCACCTTCTTGAGACCACTGGTCGGTGAAGTTCAGGCAGAGAGTTCTGATCTCTGACGCAATCAAGCTAAAATATCTGAAAAAAGTGGAATCTTGTCAGTCTCGAGCACTCCTGGACCCAACCTGGCCATGCGGCCGAGCCCGAAGCGCCCGAGGGCTGGTGAAAAGGAAACCACTGCGAATGAGGCTTTAATAAAGAGAAGCCGTATCCCTACAGTAACGTGTTCTGCGAAGGCCAGCAGGCCCAGGACAGCCACCAGCACCTGCGGTCGTGCCGCTCTGCTTGGCCGCACGACCGGGAGAGAAGGAAGACGCCTGGGCAGGGCAGGTGCCGTGCCGGTCCCACGAGAGGCTGCCTTGGGGCCCTTTGCTCAACCGTCCTTTAGACCCTCCCCCCCTCGGAGCAGGAATAGGAGGATCCGACTCGAACAGATTTCCAGCCACACTGTGAGCATGTCCCACAGCATTCATTCCCTTTGTAAATCTTTGCCTTTCATCATTAATAATTCACTTGCAATACTTACAGATGATAATAAAAGGCCTACAAAACTGTACAAGGCTGCAAAGACCCATTTAATTAACTAACTTCAAGGAAACTTGTATTATTAAGCAGATGCTATTTATGTCTTCCGTCAGGGATCAGGCCTGCATCAGTGGGAACTGCCAGCGTGCAAAGCAGGCAGTACTGCGCTACCGTCTGCAACAAAATAAAGTGCTGATGTGCCCTGGTTTGCTGGGATCGCACAGCAGGATTTCAGGGATCCCACAGATGCAATATTCGGTTCTGCCCAAGCCCCAGCATCTGGCTGGGGTGCGCGGTCCCTTCGGCGCAGCCCCTGCAGCCACTTCAAGCACCCAGGCCCGGGGTGCGCCCCGCTGCAGAGGCTGTGGGTGCTGCGAGGCGCGCTGGCACCTCCACCCCAACGTTAACCTGTGGTGGAAAACTGAGGTTCTGGCACAGCCAAGCAGGACACTCCAGGCAGGCTGCTGCCTTTCCCTTCCACG